ATTGGCGAAAGAAAGGAGTGAAACGGTCAGAATCCCGCGAAGAATAAGCCTCCGTTCTCAATGACTTCGAAATCAATTTTGGACGAGTTTCCCATAGACATCTTGCCAATAACCGCTACCGAAGTTACGGCTGCGTATGTGTACTCATATATCCATGCAGCATCACGGCCGCTTCATACCAATCCCTTCGCTTCATAATTTGCTTAGCAAATGAATGAATACGAGCGTCAGGAACGGTCGTCCATTTGTGGGCGGGCGGGCGTGGTGGGCGTTCGGGTCGGTATGTTGTGGCTTGATAGGGCCCTTATAAGGGCACCTTCCTTGGAAAAGGCGCTATGCAGCGCCTGCTCAGGGTCGCGGAATTCCGTCCTGCCAGGCGTATTAATCCTACTCGTCTTGGGGATTTATCGTGCCAACTGCCTTCACCCGTCCCTGCCCATTCAGTAGCAGTTTTTAAAGTGATACCGATTTCGGAGAACTCAGAAGGAGAGCATTGCAAAACTATAGGACGTCTTACGACAGGAGTGCTCAAAGTTTTTCTTTGTCACCTTATTTATTGTATTAGACGAAGTAGTTTTTTCTTCTATTTTTGCAGCTGACGTCGGCGACCGTAATCAATCATTCTACAAATTCTGCTCAACGGCCTGTAACAGCCAATGGTATGTCAAATACCGTGAGAGAAATCGAGTCCATCCCTGGTACTGTACAACCTCATGTCGGTGAAACGCCCATTCTTGACAAGGTATCGTAGTTATTTGAATTTTGGAAACAGACATGGGAAGATCGATAACTCTGCAGGTTAATTCTTCCCCTGCAATCGCTGTACAATCGTCGTCACCAGAAAAAAGCGTTTCGGAAGGAAGAGATATTCTGGCTATGAAATCCGCTTCACAACAATCGCTTACTGTACCAGAAAAAACGAATGTGAGGAAATTTTCAAAAAATTATTCTGCAAAAGAAAATTGGCTTGAAATTTCTGAGAAGTTACTTGATCCTTGGGGAATTTCGCTGATAATTCTGAAAAGAACAGACATTGAGACAATGTGTACTTTCAACAACAATTTAGAATCGCATCTGAAAAAAATAACGTTCTCTACATTCCGATGATAAGTGAGTTTGACGAAGTCGTAACAAAGAGACAAATTCGTTTTCAATTGTCCCCTTTTTCCTGTTGCATGGGCTATTCGGGGAAGCTATCAGGTGCGATGCGGTCATGTGGGACCGTCAGCGGCCATCTACTTAACATAGCTATCGATCAGTGGTCGCTGGTCGCAGGCCATAACGCGACTGTGACGCACCTGTCCACCGTCCCCCGCCCCCTCCACTCTCCAACCGCTATTCTGACGCTAAGAGTTAAAAATTATATTTTACTGATTGCAGCTGAAGTGGGCTGAGGACTTTGGCTGCATCGTTTTGTGTCGTTCTATTTTTGAGTTTATTCGTTCTGTTGGCCATTGTAAACTGTCTGAATTCAAGGGGGAGCAATTTTTGCATAGTTATGTAAAAAAATACGTTTACAATGAGATAGGTGTGTCGTTTGGTCACCACTCCTTTTCAGTATTCGTTTTTGCAGACAGTTCCAACTGTTTCTACTCCGTCGATAGTCAGTAGCCCACCGATCATGCAAGAAACATCAGTGCCTGTTCCTGCACCAGCCCCAACGACAGTACCTACAACAGAATCAATTCCACAATCTGAATCGTATTCATCGCTTCCAACTACTCCACAGAATCCGTCACAACCTACACCTGCACCTTCACCTGCATCTCAACCTCCTCCGCCAACATTTCCAGCCGCTGTAGAAGTTCATCGAAATGACGAAACTAATGAGGTAAGATATGGCATCTTTAGGGTGGAGCTAAACATTCAAATCTTGAAGAAACATCCGTTTTAGCCAGCCATTGTGCGTCAAGTATCAACACATTCGATCGGCATCCAACCAACCATCTGGGAATCCTATAAAGCATTGGGAGATCAATATGCGAAACAAGAAGAAGCAGGTATTGTTCTCGGTTGTCTTGATTTTTCCCAAGTACTTCCGAAGGACCTGTGACCGTCTTTTCCTGCAATTCGGTGCCAGTGGGAGTGACAGCTAAGAAAAAGCCCCAGATTGAACTGCTTATTTGAGATGAGACTTCTACCGTCAGATATGGCTGCGTTCATATTTTGCGGCCACGGTACAGCATCGTGATGTGTGAAATGGGTGGTGTCAGTACGACCCCCCCCCCACTTAAATGGGGGTCTCGGTACGACCCCTCCCCCACTTCCCTACCAATTTCCCACCTTTTCCTGTTTTTCACCCAAAGATTTTCTGTGGGTAAATATCCAGTGTGAAACGGCAAATTTCTTCGATTTTCCCTATCTTTCTACCACTTTTTCAAAACTTTCCCTAAAATTAAATCAGACGAAGCAACAACCAGGAAAATTCCTTTCCCCAACGCAGCAAGTTTCTCTTGAAGGCACAGATCCCCCTCTCCCAACGATTCAATACGACCCTGCACCCCAGCGCAGCGTTCACCACGTCTACCAGCGTCCACTAGCGTTCCAATCGTCCAGCAGGGGCAGCGACTATGAAAGTATAGATTTCAACCTTGCAGCGTTCGCCAGCAAGAGAAATATGGGGAAGTAGGAGGGAAGCAAACAGCTGGCTTAGGCTTCGTAAAATTACGGCGTGTGCAACCGCACCGTACAGCTACACTACACCGTACAATAAATTTGCATAATTCTGTGCTTTAGCAGTTCTACGGTGCGTCCAGTGCGTTTCACGACGCTCATTGTAGCTGTTTGCTATCCTCCTACTTCCCCATACCCTCTAGTACCGGTCGCTGATGAACGCTGGTGGACGCTGGGCAGACGCTAGATCGATATCTATACTTTCCTAGTCGCTGACGCTGCCGGACGCTCGGAACGCTAGTGGACGCTGGTAGACGCTGGTGGACGCTGCCGCAAAGTATGAACGCGGCCCAAGGCCCGTCTCAAAACTGCCTTGGATTTTTGCTTACTGATCCTATAAGTGGAGCTGTGAAGCTTTAGGCTGTCACAATAGAAATAGGGAACAGGAATCAGCCGATCGCTAGCGCTCCCACTTCTGTACACGTTCCGCCTTAGTTGGGCGGGAGCGGCTTCAGCGAGCGGCGCCGCTTTTTTCAGTGAGGTTCACGGCTTACACCAAGTTTTCTTTCAAACGTGCGATTGGTCAGAGTGGAATGCCTGTTATTGACCGATTATTCCAACTCACCGAAAGATGAAACACCCGGCAAATGCGCCCGCTCAACGAAGCCGGACCGTCTTACAGAATCTGATTCACTTTTATCCTTTCCTGTTATCTAATGAATGTGTCACTGTTTCAGATCAAGAAAGTTGCTCCAGTTCACTAGAAGCGCTCATACAGAGTAGATATCCCGAAGCTTACGTCAATGCTCCAATCGAAACAGCGCCGCCACCAACAGGCAAACCACCGTCAGCAGACAAAACGCCACCGGAAAGCAAAAAATCACCAGATGAAATTAAGTCACCAGAAGAGAAAGAGACCATCAGAAGAGGCCGAACCACCTGAAATCAAGCAACAATCAGAAGAGAAAGAGCCGCCAATAGCACCACCTGTTGAAGACGTCAAATCAAGGTAATATTTTGAATTATTCAAAAACTCTTTGAACTGAGGCTTGATGTTAGGCTAGGCGCGTGTTGATTAACTGGAAAACAAGTGCTGTTTTCAGGCCAGCAACACAAGGTACACTTCCATCTGAGGAAGTACCTGGTACA